AATTTTTTTCTTATACAAAACCCTAAACTGCAATGTAAAAGCATCATTAAAAGTAGATATTGAACACAATCATGCATTGCCTTTGAAGTAAACATATTGTAGACCTAATATCAATTTTGATTCCTTATATATTTCAACATTCACTATAACAGGATAAAATAAGGAGAGGAACTGTGCAGGCTGGTTGCAGAATCCCAGGCTGATGGTGGGCACATAGCAGACAACACCTGAAGGCCCCATTTTAAATATACAGGTTTAGCAAGATGTGATTTCCATTGCCTCCAGACGAGGAAAAAAAAAAAAAAAATCACATTCTTCTGTGATCTGTCCAAATAGCAGCAGAAAAGAACCATTGTCCACTTTAATTTCTTGAAATTAAAGATACATATACATACTGTTTTCTTTGAAATACCTGTGAGGTTTGTCTTTTTGTAGGCAACCAAGCCTCACTAGCTTGGGTGTATAATTTACTTAGATCTGATCTCTTTGCAGTCTTACTGACACTATGACCGTATCTTTTAACAGAGGGAAGATGAGCCAGAATGGACAAGAACCAGTAAAGCAGTCGGGAGTAGGATTAACCGATGCAGAAGGTAAAAAGAAATACAAACAACACTACAGTGATATCCCATGTTCATAGAATCAATATGTTAGTTTCTTTTATTGTTATGTTATGAAAGATTATCTTATTCTGTCTTTGAATTGTAAGTTAAAATCCTGACCTTCATTTAATCTAAGGGCCCTTCACTCATAGTACCAATATAATGAGTCCTCAGTTTAAATGAGAACAGTGTTTTACCTGTTTATTTAAAGTACTTATATAGTTAGATTGCAATGAATAATATCTGTCTTTCAATTTTCATTGCATTTCATAGTATTGGAATAAAAAAAAATGAAGTATGGAGCTGACTCAATACTTATTAAATTAAAAAAAATCTAATGGCTGCCGGGCCCTATTTTTATAACATTTCAGAATATTTCCTTTATAAAACAGTTATTATTTTGGGTGTCTACATAAAACACTAAGTAAAAAGGTTAACAGAAGATCAGGGTTAACTGCTGCACATAGAGAATAGTGAAACTTCTCTGACTGGGAAATCCTGAGTGAATATTTTGGTAGGAATGTGGTGCTGCCAAAGGAGACATTGTAATACTGGAGCTGGAAAGAACCCGACAGAATGGCTTTAAAAGTTTTATTAGCAATGCGATTATCTCTTTCATGTGTAATAATGGACAACTGCATGAAAAGTAAGAGACTGTTTGTATTGAAGGACATGTTAGGAAAATTCCATTTCCCTTTGCTTATGAGGTATATTCTTTCAAGTGTATGTTTCTGTTGACCTCAAACACAAAATTTAACTATGACCTTCCGTTTATTATGTAAATAGTACTTTTCTCATTTATATACATTTCAATGAAGCTTTATGGTATTACATAAATCATAAATTGTAATTAATATATATAACAAATTACCTTCATGTTAAGTTCAGTCTTAAAAAACCCAATATTTTTCAGATTTCTGCAGTCTCTACATGGGGAAATAATTGCTGTTGATATATTTGAGGTAAAAGTGGTCGATGTACCACAGATCTGAAGAAATCAAATTAGGATTTGAAGATAGAACTGTAAAACTGTCTTTTCCAAAGCAAGAGTCTTTGACAGTGCACATGCATTCAGTACATATTATTCACCATACAAAAGTAAAAATTCAGCTGCTTATCAAAACTTCAGTATGTTCAATAGTATTTTTAAGTATTTGAAAAACTATTTTTTAAAAGAGAAACAATGGGATGAAAATGGGAAATCAGGAATTTTCCATTTTTAATTTGTCATGATGTGTTTTATACATAATGATAATTGTAAACAAATAGCTTTTCATCATTTTGTTCATCATAAATTACCCTTTAGGTAAGGTTTTGGATCATAAATTTCAGAACCTAAAGACAGAAAATATTTTAATTTGATGTGTGCATCATTCAAACAAACTCAAGCAAAAAAACCCAAACAAACCCCAAACAAACTTCTGAAACTTTCTAAAAGATGTGTGTATAACATTTGATCATTAAAATTGCTTTTTTAAGCAAAGTCACGTTTCTGCTCATCTTCAAAATCTGCAAATAGTTGAAGAGCTGCAATTCCCTAATTTTCACTTACCTAATTGAGAACTCTAAGAGTTACAGCTCCAAGTCTGATGAGTGGCTCTTACTAAGAATTGTTTTGCCCATTGAGAGAAGCTTGGGTGGCCAGCCTGGTTTTTAGTGTCTGACTTCTAGCTGACTAATGTAGGTCACATCAATATCAAATGATAAATTAAACTAAAAGCTGGAAAACAATTCAAGTGCATATCAGTTTCACTATGTAAATATAATTGTCCTGTGGGCAAGTAAGCCAGAATGTAGAGGAACTCAAGATTAACTGAGAATTACTTTAGTATTACAGAATTATTGTGATATTCTTTTCAGAGATGAACAAAAGTGTATGAAAACCTTAAAGTCTTAAAGACCAAATGATATCTTTTCTGTATATCTGTGTTGTGGACCAGATGAGCTCTGCAATTAACTGGAAGTAAATATGCATTGCTGGTTTTCATTAATTTGTAGAGAGTTCCCATGGTTAACATTTGTATTTTTGTTTACACATATGCTTTTAGTGGTGTTATACTTAAAAACCTTTTAATACTAGCACTATTTTTACATTTTCAGATATTCTTAATGGATAATGCCTGTGAAAAGTATCCTGTGGGTTGCTCTCTTTAAAACTGTGCAAAATAAATTCAATTGCTTACATACGCAGATCTACTGCTACTTGAAATGTTTTAGTCATTCAAGTCATTCACACAGGCCTGGCAAATATGGCAGGGCACTTACAGGGACAGAACCTTTAAGACAAGTACCTGGAGGGAAAGAAAGGTAGGACTCTCGAATGACAATGAAAACTGGTTTCTAGACAGCTGAATCAAAACTGTCAACAATGGGGTCTGGGTTCACCTCACAAGGTTGACAGCAAAGTTTAGTCATCTATAGAAGTGGAATCACCAGAGAAAAATATGCTCCTTTTGTAACTGTTTATCCACTACAAAAATGTGCTATTGTCATGTTGGGAATAGTTTTTGTGCTACTAAGATGTAATAATTGACTTATAAGTAAATATTGGAAAGCAGTACTATTTACATTGCTGATATATATGGTCGATATAAATAACTTTGAGTATTTCTATGACAATCTTTGTTTCTCTGAACATGTCATGTCATATTCTGTATTTTCATACTACTTGATAATATAAAATAATTCAGAGTTTTGTTCTTGGACACTGTGTTACAGTTCTTTTTCTGATATGCATGGTTGCATGCTATCTTACCCTGAACATCCTGCTCTGAGCAGAAGAAATGCTTCATCTTCTTGAGCTTCAGTAATTCTTATGATGCATACTGTGACCTTCATTGAGCCATGCAAACCAATTTCTCTATTAGTTTCAGAAAGTGCGATACTTTTTGTTTAAAGATTTGTTATGACATTCTGTAGAACATTACAGAAATTACGGACAAAAACTGCATTCCATGTAAGGATTGAAACTAACAATTAATATATCGTGTTTAATACCTTAATTCAGTCGTAGATCATGAATGGTCTATCTTCCCTATGAAACCACTCGACCAAAAGATTACAGACTATTTTTGTCCTACCCAGCTATTCATCCAATTAAGAAATAAATGGGGAAAATTATTTTCATATATTTCAAAAGTATGAATTTACAAGGCAAAACCAAGCTGCCATGATTTCTAGTAGAAAAGAGGTATATAGGTAGAAATAGCATTTTAATTAAAATAGTTTACTATAAGGAAATTTTGAATCTTCTCATTTTGAAGGTGCTATATGCATGCAAAATATCATTCCTCTAGGTTTACAGACATTGAGGTTCATCTCAAATACAGACTTCTTTTGGAAAGATGAACATGCTGGTAAACATGACCTGGCTTCACCCATTCAGTATTCTTTTGGAGTGAGTGCGCACTCACAGTGTTTCTGTCATCTTCTGTGACCTCGTTGTTAGGATTTTCAGTCAGAAAACTGGAAACTTTGTATAGGAACAAAGTGGTTCCCTGCCACGTCTTCAAAGACTGTTCATGTCCTAAATACAAAATACTTCTCTAGATAGTTCTGCCATAGCTCAGAATCTTGCTTTCTGACACTTCCTGCAGTCCTTTGAGCATCATCCTTTGAGTGTATTAAAATGAAGTCTTGTAAGTAAGAAAATCTCTCCCTAAATAAATGACTGAACCTGGACTGAAAATTGCAGAATATTATAGTAAAGCATATGTAGATGTATTTCCACACCTGAGCAGAAGGGAATAGATTTGTACTGCTTTGAAATCTGATGATGCACGCATACTTACTGCAGGATCACATACTCGTGATATGTACTCATTGTTTACATACCCTTTAATGAACTCCTTCAGGGTTTTCCTTTTTTGCATGCTGTGCATTTGCCTGAGTTATGGATTTAAAAACAAACAGACAAACAAGATCTGTGATAACATCATGCTTTAACAGACAAATTTTACAGTACTGTGATTTCTATTTCATCTATTCAGAATAAGCTAAAAAACAGAACTCTTTTTTTGTTAATTTTTGAGCTTTGTGGTTTATCAGTGTAGCTTAAAAAGTAAGAAATTCAATTTTAACAGTTTAATCACTTAATTTTATATTTCATTAGATAAGACAGTCTAATCTTTATTTATGAGAAAAATGGTTGAAATACCACATAAAACTTAAAGCAGTCTAGGAGGTCATTCAAATAACATTTTGGAGCAAAGGTGCATGACATCTCTAAGTAAGGGACTGGTAATCATTTGACTTGCAAATTTTCTGTTATAGGTTTCTGAATAATCCTGGTGAAATATTCATCCATGTCTGCATAGAATAGACAATGGAGAAAATTATCTTACAAACTGTATCACACTTTCCCTTGAAGAGACACCCAGGTATAATATGTGGATGAGCTCTCTTGAGTAAAATAAGTCATGAAACAAATGGGCAGCACAGGCTCAACTAAGCATTGCCACATACTTCAAAGTAATTAAAATTCAGAATAAAATTAATTCTCCTTTCACTAGCTAGAATAACTCTTTTTTAAGCCAAAGGACTCACTGTGGTGTGACTGATACCAGACTAAGGGCTTGAGACGTTGCTTGAATCAGGCTGATATATATTCGCACTTTAAAAATTTAGCATTTTGATTTTTTTTTACTCTAGTGGTTGAAATATCAGAACTATAATATTTGTCATTCTGAGGATGTTCAGAGACAAATGGTCTCAATTTTAGACCTTCAACCAGAAAGTTATAAGAAAGAGGAGACAAAAGGCAGATGAAGGAAATTATTTAAAGCTAATCATGATACAGTTACTTATACATACAAATGCTTTTCTGCCTATGCAAAAATACTTACTTTGATGTCCTGGTTGGCCAGGCTGAAAATGGGGAGCTTACTGGAGATGAGAAACTTTTCTTGCAGAAATCTGTATCATTTCACAAAAAAGAAAAAAAAAATCAAATCAAAATATGATGCTTGATATTCATGAAGGAAAGTTATGGTTAGAATTTAACATCTCGCTAGATTAAAATTAAGGTGAATTTTATTGCCCTTGGACAAGCAATGGGGACACCGAATGAAACCACTGAGACTGGGAATAATATAGGACATAAATCAGATTAAATATTAAATGTATGTAATTTTCTTTCATAATTAACTCTAATTCATATCTTTGTACCTATTAGAAGGTAACTTCTGCAAAATGTAAACTCGCCTTAGTCATCTAACATGAATACCAGAAAGAAATATTTAGCCAGTTTTAAAAATGTTTTCATGAGTATTTTTCTTAACTGTTCTTAAGTATTAAAAAAAAAATTAAGAAAAAATAGTGTCCTGGGTTCAGCAGTAGCAGTCATGTTTCTCCTCCTTGGTAGCTGGTGCAGTGCAGTGTTTTGACTTTCGGCTCGGGAACAGAGCTGATAGAGATGAAAGATAAAGAAGCAAGCATTGCAACATTTATAGGCAACAAAGGTACATAAAGGAAATCAGATAATAAAACACGCAATCACTTTGAAATGCTTGGAATGGGTTCTTTGATATTTAATGGAGAAGCACTGTAATTAGGAATAAAAGTGCAAAGAATGCAATAAAAAAGACTCTAAAATGGATATTCTGGGTTTGGACAAGAGGGATTTACATACCTGGTCTAGTGGAAGGTGTCCCTGCCCATGGCAGGAGGGTTGAAAGTAAGTGATCTTTTAGGTCCCTTCTAACCCAAACAGTTCTATGGTATGAAAAAGGTTACAATAATCATAGAAGAGTTTGACACACAAACTGAAAATACTCCTGTACTGTGTGACTGCTGTTCTCAGAAAAGATGCCTATTCAGAGAAAGGTATTTTGCAGTTGTAGAATGAGAAACACTTTTATCCTTCACTTTCTTCTGTACCTTTAAGCTTGAACATCAGCATGCACACCTCATTCACTTAGCCTAATATTTTGTCTTGAAAGATATAGTCAGTGACTCTATGCCGGGAAAATGCACTTTCTTTTTATTCTTCCCATTGTATTGAGCTATGATTACTGAAACAGGTGACGTTCTGCATTGTGTAGCAGGAGTCTGAGAACTGTTATTTCCAAGAAAAAATTGAAAGTACCATTATATCTCATTCAACTGCTCACTTCCAGGTTTAGGTCATTAAGTGACTGAGTAGAGAGGAATTGTGAATCCCCATGCCCAAGCTTACTAGCAAGAGTAGACTCCAATTAACCTAAAAATCATGCACTAATTGGTATTTATTTTTCTTAAATTTAAACTGAACTTTACCTTCAGACCAAAAATTTATATCTCCCACAACATAATCCTTGACTCATAGCACACTAACAGCATATAGATCAGCAGTAAATGACCAAGTCAGAACCATTTGCCTTCAAAATAGCAGAGAATTTATGTTATTTTGGAATAGTTCCATGTTTCTGCACCAAGGCTCAATCCAATTCTTTTCAAGGCCTTTTTAGGCTGGTATCTCAAAACCACAGGAAACACCATCAATTCTGTTCTTGCAAACATGTCATATGCTATATCATTGTTTGCCACCTTCCCAGTAACTCAAATATCTCAGAAGTATTGAAACTTTAATCCCAACATATACTATAAGAGAAGCTAAAAAAACAGTCTGGACTTTCAAGTATTTTCCTTGAATTGATAGAATCTTGTACTGACCATGTATCATAGAATGACAGAATCATAGAATCATAGAATAGTTAGGGTTGGAAAGGACCTTAAGATCACTAAGCTCCAACCCCCCTGCCATGGGCAGGGACACCTCACACTAAACCATGTCACCCAAGGCTCTGTCCAACCTGGCCTTGAATACTGTCAGAGGTGGAACATTCACAGCTTTCCTGGGCAACCCATTCCAGTGCCTCACCACCCTCACAGGAAAGAATTTCTTCCTTATATCCAACCTAAACTTCCCCTGTTTAAGTTTTAACCCGTTACCCCTTGTCCTATCACTACAGTCCCTAATGAAGAGTCCCTCCCCAGCACCCTTATAGGCCCCCTTCAGATACTGGAAGGCTGCTATGAGGTCACCATGCAGCCTTCTCTCCAGGCTGAACAGCCCCAACTTTCTCAGCCTGTCTTCCTATGGGAGGTGCTCCAGTCCCCTGATCATCCTCATGGCTCTCCTCTGGACTTGTTCCAATAGTTCCATGTCCTTTTTATGTTGAGGACACCAGAACTGCTCCAAGTGAGGTCTCACAAGAGCAGAGTAAAAGGACAGGATCACCTCCTTCTTTGACCTGCTGGTCACACTTCTTTTGATGCAGCACAGGATACAGTTGGCTTTCTGGGCTGCAAGCACACACTGAAGCTGGCTCATGTTCATTTTCTCATTGACCAACATCCCCAAGTCCTTCTCCGCAGGGCTGCTCTGAATCTCTTCTCTGCCCAACCTGTAGCTGTGCCTGGGATTGCATCAACCCAGGTGAAGGACCTTGCACTTGGCATGATTAAACTTCATAATGTTGGCATCAGCCCATCTCACAGGAGTGTCAAGGTCCCTCTGGATGGCATTCCCGACACTGTTGACTGTTGACTAGACTGTAATGGATATTGATCCATGGATTTAAAGAGATATCCAGCCAATCCAAAATGTTACCAACACTGACTTGAAGAGTGGTTGAATTGTATCTTTTTGGTTTTGAGTTCATGTCCAGTAGTACATAGCAAAAGAAATCATGGTGGGCTCTCAGTATGTTTTCTAAAGAGTAATATAAGCCTAAACTCTTCTTTTCAAAGAGCATTTTTAGCAGCTGTAATATCTGCTTTTATAGCCTTATTTTCATTCTGATTTACATGTAGATGAGGTCAGTTTGTGAAATGAAATATTACTGAGTAAAATGTGATCTTTTCCCAGGAAGAGGCCTAAATGAAAGAATGAGGTATTGCCAGACTTCTCCACTATCTCTATCAATAAAAAGGCTAAAATTCAACCTGGCCTTGTTTAAACTATCTTTAATATAAAATTACACCTTGCTTTCTGCCATTAGGTTCTCCCAGAGGTCTGGTACCTAGCAGTCTTGACAGCACAAGATAAAGTAAGATTTTGCCCACAAAGTCTAAAGCAGAAAATATCAGCAAGAGTGCTTTCTTGCATGAGCAGCTGCATCAGTACAGAGGAAAAAGGGACACAAGGGAGAAGAAAATAAGTAATGAAAACACTTGCAGGTAGTCTGTCACACATTGAGGCCTTCATAATGCAATTCCTTTATTTTGGGGAATGCAAATTTTTATTTCAAAAGTTAAAAAGATCAGATATGCTTTCTGTCACAAGGAATCCTTAAGCAATGAATCAGAGCTATGCACTGACTGTAGTCTTTATCCCCTATCTCTGTTTTTAAGCTATGTATAACATTTTATACATTCTCCCTCAAGTGAGGAATACCCCTACTGCTAATACCTAAATACCATACTAATTGGAAGTGATTCAAGATAAACAACAGCAGCCTTGTAAACTTAAGAATTATCAGCTTCCTCCCTAAACTCTGGGAAACATTCCTTTTATCTGTCCCTGTTTGGTCCAGCACTCTAATTTCCCCACCTGGTTCTCCGGGAATAATTCGAGCAATTAGTTCTGCCTTCCTGAGATATTTGCCAGTATAATCCAGTTGGTTTTCCTGAAAAGAAGCAGAAAGAATTGAAATAACAATAAAGAATGCAGGAAGAGATGGAAACATAAAAGAAAAAAGGACAAGATAATCTGCTATATTCATGTATCCACATCACATAACATTGCTCTACCTAGTTAAAAATCACCTTGTTCCTGAGTTGTTATGCTAGTGTTATTAAAAAAGAAGAAAATAATAGAGGGAGTCTGGCTGGGGTTAACTAGTGGCTGGCCAATGGCTTGTGCCACTCTTGTATGAACTAGGACTGAGTGGCTATTAGCCATTAAATCATGTGGCAAGAAAATTCTAAAGAAAATGATTATTTTTTAAGCATCCATTAAAAATTCTGCTTTTCCCATGGGATCTGTAGAAAATTAACAAAAATTAAGAAGACAAACAAGCAAAAGGAAAACCAGAAAAATTTGAAAGTACATGTGTTTAATCTTGAAACCAAAATATACTCTTTGATATGATGCTTTAATAGTCACCTGGTAAGATAATTTGCTCACCTCATGTTCTTAATTACATTTACTGGCCTACCTCTTAAATGCATTTCCACTAATTTAAAGCTGCTTGGACTTTCTGGGTGTTTCTTTTAGTGACTTCTTAAATATATAATGGGGTCAGCATGTCTGGGCTGGGAATTGAAGTGCTAGTAATTCCACTAAAAGAGTTAAAAAAGCTACATGGATTCATTTTGAGGGTGTGGGAGGGAAGTCATGGTAGAATTTCAGTAATCTATGTCTTTAAAAGTATATGGTTATGAAGGAAATTTGATGCAATACCAACTGGCACATTTAGTAGAAATACCAACTAATAGTGAAAACCTTCAACAATGTAAACCAAATAGAAGTATTTCCCCATCAATAATGGGATAAAGGGGAAGATTGTGGAGTGTACAATTACAGGACCTGAGCCTGTCTGGTGTAAATCTGAAGAAGGGCTGCTTCACATAGTGAGTAATATAAAACAACTTTGAAATAGAGTCACTTTTCATAGTAGGTGCTCATTTAGAATCAGCAAAAGTCAGGTTGAGGCATTATGATAAAAAGTGATGTGTTAAACCCTGGATAAATTCCCCTCTGTGATGGAAATGAAACTACCAGGTACTAAGCTGGGGTTTTAAATGTTGTCTTCCTAATAATTATATATTAGAATATATAGATAGATAATTCAGGTGATCTTCTCCATTTACCAGTGTGATTAGGACCTGGAATTTTATGTATACTCCAGGGAAAAAAACAAAACAAAAACACAGGCACACACATACAAAAAAAAACACACACACACAAAAAATTCCTCAAAACCAAACAACAAACAAACAAACAAACAAATAAACAAACAAACAAAACAAAAAGAAAAACAAAACAAAACCTATGTAAAATATATCTGGTTTACAATCAGTAGTGTTCAGTGCTCAAACATGTATAAACAATTAGGTATCAGGAATGCAGTTGAGGGGACTTCAAGGATCATCCCATTACTTCAAAATGCAATATTGTTTCTTAAAGGCTTTGCTGACTTGCACCAAAAAGTTCTTAGTGGTAATAGAGACTTTACAGCTTCATTAATCTGTTCTAATGCTTGATTATCCTTGATACTAAAATGTTTTTCCTAACTCCTAGCCTAATCTTGCTTGCTGAAATTGGTCTGTTCGTCCTAAGAGTACCTTTTTTCTTGGCAAGTAAAAGAAGAGAAAAGGCATCCTTTCTTTCTTGTATCCGAACATTTGAGAGAATAACAAACATAGACACCTTAGCTCATTGTTTATATGTTGGTTCTAAGGCTATTTGGTGTTTTGTTCATGTCTAAAAGCAGTATGTACAGTCCCTGACTTTACATAGACACATTTTCCACACTATTTTCCACTTTTGAAAAGTCTACACAATATCCACTCTGAGTGTTTTTAAACCCGTAATAAATTTGTACATGAAATCTGGCCTTTCCAAAGAAAGAAATCTGAGCTGTATTAGAAAATGAAAGAGAATTAAGAAGAGAAATATGTATTTCGTTTTTCCAGTTGATGAACATTTTGTGCACAAGAGCCTTTACATCAAAAGGAAAATCGAATTTGGGAAGCGGAGCTCTTCACTTCTTCTTATCAGCAACACCTTACTTAAGTGTTGATCCACTGACTAAAGGGGCTACTCCACATTTGCAAAATTATACAACAATGTATATTCCGATAAATGTCTCATCATTTGGGGTGAGATTGTCACATTGCCTTGCCACGTTATAAGGGAAAGACTGCACTGAAATCACAGATGCATCCAAGTATATGACAAATCAGTCCCCTCTTTATTGGCAGCATCTACTGCCCTCAGATTACTTGTTCTGAACCAAATTCCCAAGTTAAATATTGAAGTTTATATTGCAGTTTTCCTGTTGAACAAAGCTGAGTAATTTGTTTCAAATAAAATTTTCTGTTACTGTCTAAGGATTCTAAATTGAAGGCAGCTTGAAAAAAAAACAGATGTAATAGGAAGTAACGCAAATCCTTGGAGAAAGGAAACACACAAACCCCACAAACATGTTCTTTCTTCCCTGCCTCTCTCTGAGGTCAACTGAATATATGGATGTATATTTAAAGCACTGACATAAATAATTATTCTTATTTCTGCTATAATTTTGAGCAGAAAATTCTTTCTTAGGAGTATTATGTCAATTGTGATTCTGAATTAAAAATGTCAAATTTTTTTGGATGCATTTTGTTAAGTTCTCTACATGGTTCTTTTTATATGAATAATCCCAATTATATAATAGCAGATTCTTTTTTTTTTGTAATAAAGGTCAATGTCAACGAATTTCTCAGAACAGATTTCTTCAAAATGTTGAAAGTTTTGATGACATTTTAAATAAATAAATAAATAAATAAATAAATAAATAAATAAACAAGCCACAAAATCTAACCAAAACCTGATCAACTTAGGAAGGGATACATAAAACTGACTTTTATTCCTTAGCTTCTTAATGAATCTTTTGAGTGAATCACCTGATCTTTATAATGTAGTTTCCCATGGCAAAATTAAGGTTCTCATACATTCTCAACTGCCTGAAATGCTTTGAGAATACTGGCTGGAGAGCTTTGTGTAAATACCTTTTCTGATGGTTCCAAGTTACTGTTGATTGTTAGTATAGGAACTTCAAGGTTTCTGTATCACTTCATTAAGACAATAGAGTTAATACTTAAAGAAAATGCTTCTATCTGAAAATATAAACTGTGTTCACTCTGTCCTTTCATCTGTCTTTCTTATTATCTTTGTAATCTCAAATGAATATTTGAAATTATATCCAACTCATTGGAATAACACAGAACTGAAACATGCACCACTTAAGTGTTATTGGCCCCAGCCTGGACTGGGATTAGGAGGAGAGATTGCTGGTCAGTCCCTCCGCTATCACCCTTTAAATTTTCATAGAGGTACTGTATACTTTGTGTTCAACTGTTCCTAGGAACACTCGTCTATTTATCCACCTGTAGACAAATGTAAGTCACAAATCTTCATCCACCTCCACTTCACTTGAGACTTTTTCATCGACCAACACCACCAAGTCCTTCTCCACAGGGCTGCTCTGAATCTCTTCTCTGCTCAACCTGTAGCTGTGCCTGGGATTGCGTCAACCCGGGTGTAGGACCTTGCACTCGGCATGATTAAACTTCATAATGTTGGCATCAGCCCATCTCACAAGCGTGTCAGGGTCCCTCCCTCTGGATGGCATTCCTTCCCTCTAGCATATCAACCGAACCACACAGCTTGGTGTCATCGGCAAACTTGCTGAGGGTGCACTCAATCCCACTATCCATGTCAGCAACAAAGATGTTGAACAAGACTGGTCCCAACACCAATCCCTGAGGGGCACTTCTCTTTACTGGTCTCCAGCTGGACATTGAGCCATTGACCACAACTCTTTCTGTGCAGCCATCCAGCCAGTTCTTTATCCACTGAGTGGTCCATCCATCAAATTGATGTCTCTCCAATTTAGAGACAAGGATATCATGCAGGACACTGTCGAATGCTTTGCACAAGTCTAGGTAGATGATATCAACTGCTCTACCCCTGTCCATCAGTTCCGTAGCCCCATCATAGAAGGCCACCAAATTGGTCAGTAAACAGTCAATCTTGTGTAGTCTCACAAAAAACTGTACACATCTTACATGTATAGATCAAAATCCATAATAATCCAGTCTACTTTGTATGAAATCTAACCTCTTTGTAGGTGGGCAAGAACCCTCAAAGCTAATTTACAAGATATGGGGAAAAACAGATTGAAAAAATGATGAAAAAATGCTAAATCTCAGGGATTACAGAAAACATCCCACTAAGATAGCTGGGTGTAGCCCTGCTAATAAATGCAGCAGTGCCTGAGACCTATAGTCTAAAAGCAAGTGCTTCCCTGCATTACATTACTTCAGAAAATAGTCTCAGTGACATCATTATGTTCATGCAGGCTGAAGCTACTGTACTGTTATGATACAGAGCAGCAACATAAATTTTAATTGAATTCTTCAATTTTACTTTCAGATCCGATTCCTTTTGAGGGAAACTAAACTGGAAGCTCGTTTCTAGATGAGTACTAAATGTACTCCTATTCCTAGATACAACATAGCCAACCATGGTCCTTTGGACAGAACAGGCCCACATGCAGAAAAAGAGTATTTGTATCACAGACGAGAGTGATTTCAGTTTAAAAGCAAAGCTTTGAACTTTATACAATATAGATGTAGGTGCCTCAGAACTGATTCCTTTGATCTACTGATTTGTTCCTATAACACAAAATTAGTACTAGTTTAGACACAGTAGCAGATAATTAATCAAACACTTAGGTATAACTACATATAATTCGAGAATCTAGTTTCCTACTGATCTTTAAAATTAATATAGAGGAAAAAAGACAGAAAATATACATACCTGGTTTTCATGCTGCCATCCTGTGACCAGTTTGGTGAGAAAACCCCTTTGTGCCTGAGTCACACAAAAGAAAGGAGATAAATGTGTCAGCTGCCATATTCTACAAGAAATCAAACAAGAAAGATGTGAACAGTGATGAGCATTTCATCTCTTCCTACCACATTGCACTGAGGGAAAGCCTTTCAGGTCCTTTTGAGGAGGAAATAAATAAAAACACACAAGAAATTCTCACAACATTCCTATTTAATCTTTTCCCTAGATTTTTTTGTCATCTTAGTTTGCTTGTTTTATGTGAACTGAATTGACCTATAAGGAGGTGCTATTGTTTTTGTATTTCTTAATCTCAAAACATATTTAAAGCTCTTAAGGTAAGAGGCATTTTTATGTTGCATACAAGCAGGATTCTTTCATTTTTTATATATATTTTTTTTCAGTCACCATATGAACTGAATTAAGTAATTTCTCAATGTGCATATTAATTTATAGAATTATATTAAACTCATCCTTTCATAAAGTTATTGGACTTCAAATAATGCTTGTGACAGGAGAGACTGCCTCTAGGAGTTAATGGGAGTTTTACTATTGGGAGTCATAATTACCCATCGTGCCCTTTCAGTTCTGCAATAAACTGTGAAACAAAATATTTGAATATATTTTGTTGAAGTATATAGAAAATGTTTCATTACAGTACAAAGTATAGAAGATGTATGCATGGTCAGGACATACATAGGTGACATACACGGTCAGATGTAATCGGTTAGATTAGTATTGCATAACAGTGTAGACTGGGACATACTCCATGAAAGTCACTAAAATTTCATCAGCCCAAGATTGGCATAAGAGAAAAGGGATCACATAAGGAGAAGCTCTCAAGTACTATGAAAAACACAGGAGCAATATAGGAAAGTGAAGAAAAATTAGGATCAAAGCATTTAGCTGACTGAGCAACTAAAGTGCTGCAAATGATCCCTGAAGGTGGGAAGTCTGTCCTCTGAGCAACTCTGAGCTCAGACTCTGCAGCTTTTACTCCATTATTTAGTGTAGTAGCACTACTGTACCTATGATATTTAACATCCCGGGTTGTCACTGGACTTACTCACTGTACAGTATTTACTTTAAATAAGTAAGAACTTTCAGAAAGTTGCTTGTAGAAAAGTAAGAAATCCTTTGCAACATAAACTTATTCAAATTCAGATGACCTGTCTTGTGCTCAGAGAAATATCCAAATGTTGTAATTCTTTTTTTTGCTGCCCTCGTTGCTTTCTGTAGCATTGGTTTGTGTTAGTGTTGTTTGAATTGCAGTTAGATTGGGAAAAGGGAAGGTAAGATTTATGAACAGTTTGAAGTTAAAAAAAATTGTATGACATCACATTTTAAAGGAAAAATTGAGCTAACAGTATGAGGCTTATTTAGTTAGCTGTAACTTCATAAACTTAAATTCAAGCCCAGGGATTGAGTATTGATTAGTTCAACAGGCTAATATCTTGTGGTCATCAACTTACGCTTAAGAGGTGGGCTGATGCCAACATTATGAGGTTTAATCATGCCAAGTGCAAGGTCCTACACCTTGGTGGGAGCAATCCCAGGCACAGCTACAGGTTGGGCAGAGAAGAGATTCAGAGCAGCCCTGCGGAGAAGGACTTGGGGATGTTGGTCGATGAGAAAATGAACATGAGCCGGCTTCAGTGTGCACTTGCAGCCCAGAACGCCAACTGTATCCTGGGCTGCATCAAAAGGAGCGTGACCAGCAGGTCAAAGAAGGAGGTGATCCTGCCCCTCTACTCTGTTCTTGTGAGACCTCACCTGGAGTATTGTGTGCAGTTCTGGTGTCCTCAACATAAAAAGGACATGGAACTGTTGGAACAAGTCCAGAGAAGGGCCACGAGGATGATCAGGGGACTGGAGCACCTCCCGTATGAAGACAGGCTGAGGAAGTTTGGGCTGTTCAGCCAGGAGAAGAGAAGGCTGTGTGGAGACCTCATAGCAGCCTTTCCAGTATCTGAAGGGGGCCTATAGGGATGCTGGGGAGGGACTTCATTAGAGACTGTAGAGATAGGACAAGGGGTAACGGGTTAAAACTTAAATGGGGAAGTTTAGGTTGGATATAAGAAGGATTTTCTTTCCTGTGAGGTTGGTGAGGCACTGGAAGAAGTTGCCCAGGGAGGTTGTGAATGCTCCATCGCTGGCACTGTTCAAGACCAGGTTGGACGAGGCCTTGGGTGATATGATTTAGTGTAAGGTGTCCCTGCCCATGGCAGGGGAGTTGGAACTAGATGATCTTAAGGTCCTTTCCAACCCTAACTATTCTATGATTCTATGATTCTACATAGCTGACAAAAATTATCATGGTTGTTACATTTTCTCTTTGATTTCAGCGTAACAGTTGAGCCAAAGAGACAGAAGCGAACCTGTTCACTTCTGAGAACTGCAAAACTGTCTTTATATAATCTCTTCATATTCAGCTTAGTCTAACTCACTTCATGAACACACATTCCATGTATTAGAAGCCTTTCAGAATGACAGCCAGCCTTTATACAAAGAGCAAACCCAACTATACATAGCCAATCAGGAAGATGTGTGAATACGATTTCTTCAGCTCCCTGCAGCAAAAATAAGCAATGAAGAACTGGGCTTACATTCGTGCTACAGAACTACTGCTTTATATCTCCTGCAGCAAAACTCAAATAAAAATCTAGACTTGCATGCAGAAGTACTAACTTGTTGATAGTACCACAGCTATAAACATATATTTAAAGCTCTTTTCCGGAGGCAGGTTTTCTTTACTGTTGACAGTAAAATGGATGATTTATGAAAAGAGATATTTGTGCCACTATTTGGTTTCAAAGAGAGAATAATGCAGTTGCCACAAATCAGATTCAATATTTTTTAGACTTCTTTAAAATGAGTAAAAATATAAAATTGATGCCCAAGGCAATTTTAAAAATACTGAAAGTACTTGCAAAAGTAACTGTGTCTGGAGCAGGTCCTAAAAGGTATTATTCCCCTCCATTGAGTGCTTGTGAAGCCTCATGAAGAAAAAGGTACCTGGTCTGGGGCCTCTGGAGATATTGAGGAGACTCTACCAGAGTGCTAGTAAGATGGTTAAGGGCTGGTGCAAGTGTCACTGAGGAGAAACACAGGGTTTCCTTAAACCTGAGGAAATGTGTTACTTTATGGGTAGATAACTGGCTTATGGGACAGCGTAGAAAATATGGAGCCAGACATTTCTCAGAGCTTCACAGCTAAGAAAAAGGCAATAGACAACATTCACAAGATGAAGTAAGGTAAATTCCAACTGAATATAAGAAAAAATGAAAGTCACCATGAGTATAGTTAAACACTGATTAGGGCTGCCCAGAGAGGCTGTGGCATCTCTCCTGGAGATTTTCAGAACTCAGCAAACATGCTCTGTCCTAATTTGGAAGTTGACCTTAATGTGAATGTAGGTTTAAACTGCAGATCTCCATCATATCTGTCTACAATTTCTTCATAAAGCACACTTTGCCATAAAACAACATTGCTGCTGAAAAATATCATTCTTTCCTTCCCTCAATCTCATTTCGTCCTTCATGGTGGTATAACACGTGCTCTGAATCAAGTTGGATGACTAATCCAAAACTGGTACATTTTGGGGGGAGGTGGCAGTTAGTTCTGCCAACTAGTTCACTAGGCAGCTGTACAAACATCCATGGCTAAAGGAGATAACGTCAGAGAAACTATGTGGGAAGAAAACAGCATGAGTGTGAAGAGAGGTCTTTCAGTGCCAGTGCCTGTTTATACCATTTTAAGATGAGCATGAATCAGTGATTAGTTACAGGTAAAGATGTTATTTGTGGCTAGACCAGTGCCAAGGATTATTTTCTTTAAGGGGATATCTCACCAGAAAGAGTTTAAAGCAGCAATCTGCTGCAACTTTTTACTAAACACTGCACAGTATTTTTTATTTCTCCCAAGTAAGCTATTTTTTTTTGTCCAGGTAATTATGTTCTATGGCTTGAAGTTCCCTGCTACTGTTACATACAGATAATGTCTAATTTCGCTACCCTACATATGTCAGCACTACCTGACATATCTCGTCACAGGATTTGTAAATAAGATGTATCTTAAAAAGAAATCTTTGCTAAATAACAGAAAATAAACAGATTGCCTTTTCTTTGCCTTAGCAGAAGAACAATAGTTTTGTGGGTAAAGCATTTAGGAAGACTCAGCAACAGTGTTTGTAGTTCCTGGTGGTACCAGTTCTGTCTTTGACACTAAGAGTTAATTCTGCCATTACCAATGCCTGGTTTCAAAGCATAACAAACAGTTTTCAAAATCAGAAAGTACACAGCTCAGCAGGGTAGCAGACTTGCCTTATGTCTCTTGAAGCATGTAAGACAAAAAAGTGCTCCTTAGCTGCATCTTATATGTCACGGAGAAAAGAAGAAAATTCAATATGGAGCTTGAAAGCTCCTTATTATGTTGTCTCTTTGTGCTTCTCTGAGATAAGTTAGAAAAGTAGTGAAGATTACGAATGTACATTTAGTGGCAATCACTGTAGCTGTACTTGTCTGACCCTTCTGATTAGAAGACCTGCTTATAATTACTTATAATTCTGTGCAAATAATGACTGTAAACATAAACAGAGAACACTCAAAATATAGGTGCAAAAAGAATACTGTATCCTATCACACACAGCTCAGAATTAAAATAGATCATTTTCCTGGGTAATATTAGACAGCTTTCCATGGTCTTTAAGCCACAGTTAATGCTAAACTAATAACAATGACACTATCATTTTTTAATTTTGTATTTTGATAACTACCACCGGTATTACTATTACTTAGGGAAGCAAACCAAAATATCACAAGAGTCAGTTTGTGCAAGCAGCTGAGAGTATGTATCACAAAGGGCCTGAGATAGCTATTTTTATTTTTTTGATGGAAATCAGAGTATTATTAACAGACAGCATAATGGGCACTTTAATTCTGTTTAATGTACAGGGCTGTATCTGCTGCTCAACTGAACTGTATTGTATGAATTTCATGTCAAAATTTGAAGTTGAGTGCCTTGCAGAGATTAATTAGACGTCTAGCAAGCCATTTCAGGATCAAGGTTTCAGTCTCCCACATAGGTATGATGTCCTTGGTTCCGAGTCATGGATTAAATGGCTGCATTCTTTCCTGTGGCCAAACTATATCAGGAAGGAGGAACAAAAATTGTAAAAGAAGTTAAAAACAGTGTTGACCTGAGTTATGTTCTATACATATCCTCAAATTTCAGATATGAAGATAGTAAAATGTATATATTTGACTGATAAATAAAACCTCTCTCTCTCTGGAAGAGCTACCAATGCAGAGATCTTGTGGATTCATCACTGAGAGGATCACAAATATAACAGCATGCAAAGACTCGCAATTCAGCAGTGTATCCGCAAGATTTACTTGTAAAACCCCATGCGAGAGGACACTTCTCATACATGCGGTCATAAGCAGGGAGAAATTATGCTGAAATAACTTCAAAGATAAAAGGTGGTCTTCAGGTTCTTCAGCCATGCAGCCCTGTCTTTCACAATGATAATTACTTTACAGAAATAATAAGCACTACCCCCACAGTCAGTAAGTCCATCCAAGTGGGCAGAGTAGTAGAGTTTTTGAATATGTGGTATTTTCCAAATCAGATGGGCAGCTCGGTACTACTCTCAGGGAAGCAAATGAAAGCCAATTTTACATGATGAATCCAGACATTTTATTTTGAATTTGGCAGAAATTAATTCAGATTCAATCACATTCACTACTACTGAAAAAGTTGTCATGTAGACTTGTTGGAAAACATTTTCCTTCCAGTGACAGGTCATAATCTGAAATGCTCTTTAGTGACTTTGTTACTGTTACTGAGCTAATCTATGTCATAACATATTGTACCTATATGTCAGTATTTGTATACTTAAATGATATTTCTACTTTTATTTTTATATTATGTCATCAGTGTTCAATTACATTTGTTACAAACTCAGTGAACAGCTGTTGAAGTCACTAAATAATGTCAAACACTAATGAGAACTGCTGACTAGTCTTCAGAGACTATGAATTTTTCACTTTCAATCATTTAATATTCAGCATAATAAGCAGCTGAAATTATTTCTAAGATTTTCTACAGGTGTTAATGTTTTTCTGACCTTTCAAATCAAGGAGAATATATATGATGTTTTTCTCTCTTCATTTTTAGTTGAAGGAAACCTTTTTACTTTCTGTTCTAAAAGGATTTAAACTGTAAAAAGAGCCTGTGTAATTTCTGCAGGCATTGGAATCATATTCATGGATGATGATCACAAATACAATGCTTGCCATACTTTATTATATAATCAATATACAACAATAATAATATTTTTCCAGGTCCCAGGTATTTTACATTTCAATACCCACAGGACAAGTTTTAAATCATTATGTGAAAAGAATCTGCGTGGCAGTTTCAGTCTGTGAGATCTTGCAAAACCTTACTTTCAATTCCTATATGCACAGATCTAGTTTTTGAATATAAATTACAATCAAGACTTCAACAGTCATCTCCAAAAGCCAGGTACTAAATCTCAGCAATTCTTGATAAAATCATGAGCGCTGGCCTTATAAAATCTGTGAGCAGTCTCAAAGCAGTCTCACTGTACTATAGCAGGAGGGAGGAAAAAAGCTTCATTCCTGTTTAAAGACAGTTGCCAGAAAGTAAATCTACAGGAGCTGCCAGAGCATTAGCTCGCTATGAGATATTCCTTTGTAACCATTTTTAAAAATCTTCAGTTAATTATACAATTATGTACTGTGTATGTACCATCCAGGAACAGAAAGAAATCTTTAATGACAAAAGGGTTGGGGGTTTTTATATTTACAAATAGATGCCATTTGCTTCAGTGACTTCATAAAATTTGGGGGGAGTTTCTAAGCCTGCTAGCCTGACAGACATATTTAAATGCAAATACGGGTGTGTTTTCTGATTCACTTTTTGTTGAGCACATAGTTTAGACAAAACTTCATCAGAAATGTTTCCCAGTTGCAGGTGGAATTGCTGCCAAATCTAGGTGAAAGCAAACCCATCATAGCCTCAAGACTCTTTACTTGGGACACTCTCAGCTCCGAGAACAGGGTATTGAGTATTTCTGAGTGGCACCAGGGATAGATTTCAGCAGCTGAGATATTAATATTTCCAGGAATCAGTCTCTGACTTTTTTTTTTGCACTCTCAAAGAGCCCAAATAAATGTTTTAGGTCATCATCATATTGGAAAATTTTCAGTCTTGCACTATGAAACTTTTTCCCTTTGTATATCTTCCATCAACCTATAATATTCTCCCATTACTGAACATTAGGCCTTTCTGTTTTTCTAAAATCTGTAATTCCCAGGTCTCCTTTCTCTGTAAGAGGACTTCCACTATCATCTCTTCCATTCCTCAGGAAGTTCAGTATCTCAGGAACATTACTGCCATTTTCACTCCAGTAGAAGATTGAGACTTCTTCTATAGATTCGTTTAGTTAATTGGAACATGGATTTACCATTTTCAGCTTCACCATTGGTTTTTAAGTGATATATAATTCCATTTACTTAACAGGTTTCTTTCCAGTTCATGAACACTGTAAATAGGAGCATACTTTCCCTTTCTCTATTTCTTTCCATATTTTCAGTCTTCATCACAAAGTCCTATGAGTGCATTTATATAAATGCTGTACTATCCCTGTACTTTTTCTTCTGTTCTAGGTCTTTATATGTTATTCCTTATTCAAATGTATCTCTGTGGACTTTAACCACACACATCAGTTCAACAGTGCGATGAAATACCAACTTTAGGATATGTCTGTTATAGCAGTTTGAGGTAGTCAGCATTGCATGAAACGAAGAATAATGACACTGCTGAGAGCTGAATGAGAGGGAAAATGTCAAGTATGTATTTCAATGAAAGCAGGTACTTTAGACTATAAAGATTTCCAGAGGAAAGTTACAAACTAAAAAAAAAAAAAAAAACTAAAAAAAAAAAGCCAAAAAAAACCAAACCAAAAGCATTTCACAGGACCCTCTGGGCAGGAGCTGAAAGGTAAATTGGTATTTCTCCAAAGTGGTAACAACTTCAAGAACCATCTCCATCTCCACATTACTGTAAGCAATGCTTCCAGGCATCAGACCTCTAGAGACCATAGAACTCTGAATTCTGCCTAATACTGCGAAATATTCTGTGCAATATTTCTGTCCATCCCTTGTGAGCAAAATTTGGATTAGCATATTTTTCCAGTTTTGACTGAGCTGATTCCATGTTTATCCTGATTAACGGAAAAATCATCCCTCATTGCTCTGTTGGACAGATTATGCAGGTAGTTGAATTCCAGTAATAAGTATTCATTTTCATGCTAAAATTTCCTAGGTTCTTTACAGCCAGCCACAAAACACTCTGCTGGTCCTGAAAGACAGATTTGGCTTTTGTTCGTGTATTAGACACAATGAGCTTTGCTAGAATCATCACAGCTCTTACTAGCACACTGTATAGGCAATTTCTCATACTCTTATACATGGTAGTCTTATTAGCAACAATTAGTTCAATAATCATTCTTATTTAATGAGAGAGAAACAGTATCACAACAGTGGGCTTCTACCACTGTACTAGGTAATGTAAGTATGCAAAATAAAATCTATTAATATAATAGCATTACCTGTCTTCCACATGAACAGTCAGTGCAGAAGCATCTGCTCTGGTACCCAAGCTGTGCAGCACACACGACTGTGCTCACCAGTGTGTAGTTCCAGGGAGGTATGAGCAAGACTTTAAGCATATTTCACTGAAGAGCCTCAGAACTGCAGTATAAATCTGAGGGGGGATCTGCAAAACATAATGTGAGGAATGAATAGGCAGGTTCTTACCAAAAATTTTCATCTTCAGTTACCATGATAGTGTGCCTACTAGGTTTATAGCACAAAAGAGTGCTAACATATTGCGTTAGCCTGAGTATGTGTATGGATATATTTGTGTATACAAATGCCATCTTCCTCCTCCTTCTCAGGGAAAGATTTATAGAGTTACATATGCCACCATGTGTTAAGTAATTTTTTATGGGCTATAAATGACTTGGCCAAGCTGTGAAATGAAACAGCTTGTTCCACTGCACTAACAGTGCAGGCTCAGTGCTTATTGTCTCTGCAGTAAATGTGCAACGAGCTACTCTTCAAACTAACTGGAACGAAAACACATCATATATGATACTTATACCAATTCCTATTCACTTTGTATACTTCCCTTTGATAGGACAGCTTTATGACAAAGGAAAAGTACCAAAATATTCTGTTATTTGCACTGCTACCTCAGAAAACGTCAGCATATTTTTAGCTTGTTTACTGCTTCTAAAATCTTTAGCATGTCTAACAAAACTAAGCCTGTGTTAAAACTGTAGGTAACATACTCCTGAAGTCAGCATTTTATCCTTGAGCTGTTTTTCTATTGATCTTTCTAATGATCTAAATTCTTTAAAGATCTGCCCCTAATTTTTTCCATCTACCTGAGGCTTGATTTTTTTCTTTATTCAGACCAGACATCCAAAACTCTAAAAGGAATGAAAAATCATCACCTAAGCAATTATCTGCCTTAGCAAATGGGGGGAATTCCTGTAACAGAATGTGTTTTATAGTTTACATTTAAATGTAATATGACTGGTTTTGGTTCTGACTGACCCACATATTTGGCAGAAATTATATAAATACACTTTGTTCCCTAAGTGGTCAGCAGGCTTCCTAAGAAAACAATTGCTTCTCAGAAATGCAATCTTCAAGTACTTTGATTTCATTGCTTTCATTTTTAGCTGTTGCTCTTAGGAAACATGTAGTTCTTACAGTATTTTCAAAGCATTCTTGTGTATTTTGTTGGTGGATGTCTGTTTGCATCCCAAGTACAAAATATTATGTTCAAGGGATCATTTTCTCTTTAGATACAAAAGTAAAATGCAAAAGTACTTACAAAAATAAATAATACACGAAACTTCCTTGGTAATCTGGTTGTTTCCTTTCTGATACCCAATGTTTCTGAATTATAACTATTTGATCCTTTTTATTATATTTTGGGGCAAATTTTCTACTATCTGTTGTTACCATCCATGGGAGTAATTTCACTCGTCTTAAATTGTTCATATTATTTCCATTATACTTTCATCATTGCAATAGTTAATCATAAATGGACTTTAATCCATTTCCAGGATTTTCTAGTGGTTCAAGACAGAATGTCTAGTTTCATGGCATCAAGCAGACAAAAAGAATAAAGAAATCTGTTGTGATATTCACATCTTCCTATATATATTCAGAGCAAGAAGGTGCAAATTTTTTCCATTATTTTGGTACAGAAGGTGAAGCTTGGTTTTAAAAGGGTTCTTTAATTTCAGACTGTATTGTCAAACTCTCAAAAACTCACTTATAAAAACTAAAAATAAGATAAAAATATATTTGCCATATGAGAAGGAAAGTAGCTTAAAAATTATCATCTTTTAAATGAGAACCTAAGCAAAATCAAGCAAAATCATCCCGGTTTTGTATAGGTAAAACCCATTTTGTGTTCTCATACTGACATGAAAAAAGAGCTTGCAGACTGACTTGTCCTACTTTAACAGAAGATTTATACTGTATTACACAAAGATTATTGTAGTATTGTGCAAAATACTTCACTAAACTGTGGTTATGCCAAATACAGACTTTTAATGGCAGTTTGCAAATTACTTCACCTTTTAGCAACACATTTTCTCCTTGGTAAAGCTGCAATAGAATAGGCTTAAAATAATCAATGTTTAGGTTGCTCTGTATGTATGCCATTTAATAGTTTTCTTCGTTTCCCTGTATGAACTCTTGTCCATCCGAAAGACAGGGCAAAGTGCATCTTTCATCACCAACATTTCAAACGAGCTGTAGCAAGCCATCTTTTATGCAGTTGAATCTGCAGCATCTGATATGTCTCCTTATGTAAGATGCTAAAATTGTGAAAAGAAGACTGTGAATGTATATTTAGGATCAGGCAGTGATTTATGGTGAGGATGAAAAGGAGAAAAGGCGTTTGAAGAGAGTCTTGCCTTCTGAGACACGAGGCTGCATAGTTTGCCCTTTCAGATCCAGGCTGCTCCTATCTTTGAAGTTCAATTAAGTATAAAGAATAATTTCAACTGTCATTTTCCCTTTCTCTCACTGAAGTTATAGAAAATTGAGATAAGAGAAGGCTGCATGGAGACCTCATAGCAGCCTTCCAGTATCTGAAGGGGGCCTATAGGGATGCTGGAGAGGGAGTCTTCATTAGAGACTGTAGTGATAGGACAAGGGGTAACGGGTTAAAACTTAAATGGGGAAGTTTAGGTTGGATATAAGGAGGAAATTCTTTCCTGTGAGGGTGGTGAGGCACTGGAATAGGCTGCCCACGGAGGTTGTGAATGCTCCATCGCTGGCAGTGCTCAAGACCAGGTTGGACGAGGCCTTGGGTGATATGATTTAGTGTAAGGTGTCCCTGCCCATGGCAGGGGGGTTGGAACTAGATGATCTTGAGGTCCTTTACAACCCTAACTATTCTATGATTCTATGATTCTATGATTCTGTGATGTTCATACTTCTAGCTTAGTTTAACTGTTTAAAAATTAGTTTTCTAAATCAACGCCATCATCTCACCTCTCAACTGTCACTGAAGACAAAAGCAGGTACCTCCAGAAGGCATTATAACTTTGAGGCAATCTTATACCTACTGTCTACAGAGTCTATGGAGTTTCAGTTAGACACCTAAGCTTCCTAATGATTAAGCTGCCATTAGTTTATTATTCTAAACCAAAACTAAATTTTAGGGAATTATACTCTTTTCATAAATTGTGGAGAGGATTTGACAGAATAATGAGCTTAGAAAGTAAGGTTTCCCTTCTGCAGAAGTATAAATATAAATAAGAGATATAGAGAAGAATGCAGTATGAATTAGTCCTGTAACTCCATTGACTTTCCTTTCCCCATTTTTATTCTTCCTCTACCTACCACCAGTCAAATACACAAAGGTATTCTGTGTTCATCTTCATAATTAAAAGCAATCTCTATAGTCATAGAATCATAGAACCATAGAATAGTTTGGGTTGGAAAGGACCTTAAGATCATCTAGTTCCAACCTCCCTGCTGTGGGCAGGGACACCTCACACTAAACCATGCCACCCAAAGCTCTGTCCAACCTGGCCTTGAACACCAAGGATGGAGAATTCACAACTTCCTTGGGCAGCCCACTCCATTGCCTCACACCCTTACAGTAAAGAATTTCTTCCTTATATCTAATTTAAACTTCCCCTGTTTAAATTTTAACCCGTTACCCCTTGTCCTATCACTACAGTCCCTAAAGGATAGTCCCTCCCCAGTATCCCTGTAGGCCCCCTTCACATACTAGAAGGCTGCTGTGAGGTCTCCATGCAGTGTTCTCTTCTCCAGGCTGAACAGCCCCAACTTCCTCAGCCTGTCTTCATATGGGAGGTGCTCCCTGATCATCCTCGTGGCCCTTCTCTGGACTTGTTCCAACAGTTCCATATCCTTTTTATGTTGAGGACACCAGAACTGCACACAATACTCCAAGTGAGGTCTCACAAAAGCAGAGTAGAGGGGCAGGATCACCTCCTCCAACCTGCTGGTCACGCTCCTTTTGATGCAGCCCAGGATACAATTGGCTTTCTGGGCTGCAAGCGCACACTGCTGGCCCATGTTCATTTTCTCATCAACCAACACCCCCAAGTCCTTCTCCGCAGGGCTGCTCTGAATCTCTTCTCCGCCCAACCTGTAGCTGTGCCTGGGATTGCTCCGACCCAGCTGTAGGACCTTGCACTTGGCATGGTTAAACTTCATAAGGTTGACATCAAACTAATCACCTAAGTTTGTGACTGGGATATTTATAGTTATTATGATTTTCCCTCCATTTATTCCAAATGCCTGTGCGGTACAGGGACCACTCTCATAAAATACTGAAAACATCTTTTTGGAGTAATCACTGATCCTCTATACTGTCTACTAGGTCACTGATTTGGACAGCTTTTGACACTAGTTCTTCTCTAATCTTATTGCCTCATTAACCTCTTTCTACTGCCTCATTAACCTTTTCCTACAACATTTTTGTTTGCCAAGTAACAGAAATATAGCTGGTTGAAAGTGGATTGATACAAGTTTGTGATTTTTATGTTTCATATTTGAGCATATGAAAAGTATCCGGTTTATTTTCCCACAAAGCACTTTAATTCAGACCAAAAGTTTTTACATACGGCATCAGTCCACGGTCATCATTAGTGCACCTGAACGAGGTGCACACACCCCAATAACAAGAAATGGAGCAGAGCATTTGGGTTTTTTTTCTGGAAACTATTCTACACCTCAAAACCTCAACAGGCAGACATCTTTCTCTGTTTTAAAATGTATTTGATGCAACAGTTTTGTTTCATCTGAAAGTAAAAGCTTAATGGTATTTCCCTTCAAATAGTTTTTACTTAATCCTACTAAGAATTCTGAGCATATAGGTTAAATTTCTGCACCAGTATATTTGAAACTTTGTGGGCAGTGAGCCTGCTAGCTCTAAGAATTATAACTTAAAGCTGTCAGCTTGTTCATGTGCCTGAGCCTTGAAGGCAGCCACTCTCACTGCCCGCAATATTGTAAATTGTGTTTGTTTTGAGCAAAGTTCCTTAATTCTGCTCTTCTCCCTCATTACATGATTGCATGCACATCACATCAGAGGAGACAGGGAGATGTTAATGAAAGGCCTTGGTCTTCTTTGCTCATCTCAGAATATACGGTATATTCACTGCATTTGACATCTTTAGGGTAAGGAGAAGGAAGGGAAAAAAGAGCAGTTCATGCCTGCTCCCACTGCACGGCATCCCTGTATCCCAGAGGTAACCTATTTGTCAGAAGTTGAATTTATATTCTTTACCACCTCAGAGGAGCATGACTGCCTGCACACCATATCCCTACCTATATCAGGTAAGGGAGGGAATAGCTCATAATAACACCTGATTCCTTTATGTGTAACAGCACCTAGCCTTCTCATAGGCAGATTAGAGAACACTCTGGACACATATCAGGGACCCTCAGCAGCTGCAGCTCCTCTTCAGAGCAGGGGAAAAACAAAGACAGCC